TGTATCGATTAAATATAAATAACATATCCGGTGTAAATATAAAGGCATAGCTAAATTTTCTCTGAAAATAGATAGAGTTTTTGAAATCGAAGTGTAATTGTTGCTGCATTTCAGAAGCCGTTTCTACGTTGAAGTTTGTTTTGTTTGTTGCTGCATTTCAAATCGAAAGGTACGTTGTTGAAACCCTAGTTTTTTTATTATTACAGTAATTAGGGTTTTTATGTGTTGTTATTTGGGGTTTTCGAAGTAAGGAAGCATTTGGGACCGATTACATGTAGAAAGTGATCTTCTAGGTAGATGATAAATATCAATACTTTTATTTAATATTAAAGGTAGAAAATGATATTATAGGTTGTATAAATTTGCCGATACTTTGAGTATTGAGTGTTCCCATTCGTTTGAAGGAAATAGGGAGGTTTTGGGACCGATTATTATATAATATTATAGGTAGAAAATAAATATGGATACCTGTATATAATATTATAGGTAGAAAATGATATTTGAGGTTTGTATAAATGTGCCGACACTTGTTGTAGTGGCCATTCAAATTCTATTGAAGACGAACCGTTTTACCACAAGAGTGGTTATCGATTTTTGTATACAAGTATTTGATTTGATTTGCGTAAACTGATATATGAAGGAAAAATGAAGTCAATGGGTGGAAAGCAACCAAAGGGTGGATATATGTACTTCTAGTAAGTATCAATTTATTTTTGTTATTATTGTTGAAATGGTAATTGGATTAAAGTATTTAGGAACTTTAAATTGATTACAAATTTTAAATGTTGACAGTATGGACGAATGCAAAAGGATGAAGGAAGATGGCACACACAGCGGTTCGGTATGTAAAATGAAATTGACATTGAGTATTATTTAGCGTTAATGTATTGATTAAAAAACGTTTATGCTTAATATTAGGTGAAAAAAGATGTGAGGTCGAAATGAAATTCGATGAGTGATGCTCAAAAGGAACCTTACATCACACTGTCAAGGAATGATAGTAAAGAATACAAAGAACGGAGGAAAGCACATGAAAAGAAGGTATTCATTAAACTTGTAAATACGTTGATACAAGATATATAAGAACAATAACATTATATATTGTTAAAAAATGTAGGATGTATCGACAAGGTGCAGCATAAAAAGGGTGTATTCATTAATTGAACACCTTAAAAAGAATGATCAGTTGAATGTGATGAGTGAAATGGGGTTTGGATCATTGATAGGAGTAAATGATCGACCAATTCGGAGGGAATTGTGTCGATCATTGATGGAGCAATTTGATGTCAAACAATGTATTGCTAAATATGGCGATTATTCATTCCCTCTAGGGGTATCGACTGCTGCAGCCGTCTTGGGGGTACAAAACAAAGGCAAAAGTGTCCATAATGTGTTTTCCAAACAAAAAAAGTTAACAAATAAGTGTCGACACATTTATATCAAGTGTCGATCCCAAAAACATCGAAACCCGTAACTATAATGTAATAGGTCACTTTACAATGTAACCTGTTTAAATTTACCGGTTTTATGAGAAAATAGGTCTACAATATGTGTCAACACTTTATTCATTTGTGTCGATACATGTTGTCCAGAATGTATTTCCAAACCAAGTGCACGAACAAAGTGTCGATACATTTATAAAAAGTATCGATCCCAAAAATATCGAAATCCGTAATTATAATGTAATAGGTAAAATAACAATGTAATCGACCTAAATATACCGATTTATGAGAAAAGAGGTATTCATAAAGTATCGACACTTTATAAATTTGTACCGATACTTTGTGTATATAATGTGTTTTCCAAACAAAACAAGTTCACAAATAAGTGTCGATCCCAATCGGTGACAACTGAAATAGGCGATTTGTCGATCCCAATCGGTGACAACTGAAATAGGCGATTTGTTCATCATGGCTTCTAAAAAATTCTGTAGCACCCACTCGAAAGATTGGGACGTCTCGTCAGCGATTATGGCAGTAGCAAACACAATTGTGTTATGGTGATGATTGACACCGACAATAGGCATAATTGGTCGACCATACAAATTATCTTTGTACGTTATGTCGAACGCAATTACATCACCGAAGCATATGTAATCTGATCTCGATATAGAATCCGACCAAATAAGATTATGCAACGTCCCTGATTCGTCTACCGAGTATGTCACAAAAAACCCGAGATCATCATGTTTCTTATAATCAAAGTAAGCAATAAGCGCATTCACATCCCCATCGACGATTTCCTTTGCTTTGCCTCTTTGAAGTGCATTGTAGAGATCTTTATGTGTAAATCCAACATTATGATAGCTACTTATAACCCACTGATCGTTTATATTTGTTGTTGTAACTACGATTCTAGCCTTGCATCACGTTCTTGTGATTGGCGTATGAGCACGTTGACGATCAACGGTATTGACTTTTGATACTCGAAACCCTTCTTTGGAACAACAAAATTCTTGTGTCTTCACATCCCTTCATGTCAGCCGTGTGTTCCCCACGTGCACTAACTCATGTTCCCGTGCGAAATCCTTGTAAAAGTACCAAGCTTGATCACGTGAAGAGAAGAGCTTACCAACCAATATGTCAGTTCATCAACATTATGTACTTATTGCATTCCTCGGTTGGCTTAAACAGTGTCTGCATCAGTATGATCCATGGCAAAAAATTTGTTATGCAATTTCAGTGGTCCCAACAGGAGTTGATGGAAATGTATGTAAGTAAAGGTTCATTGAACAACATGTTTCAGTGGTGCTTTCAATAGGATGTGGTATTGGTAGTTGTGGTAGTTAAAGGGTAGGTACAACATTAAATTTGCAGGACATATTCATGTATGTACAATAACTACAAAATTCGATAACTTTAAAGTAATAGGTAAAATTACAATAAAGGTGGTAAAATTAGACTATTTTAATGACAAATGATATAATGTAATAAGTAAATTGACAATGTAACCAGTACACATATACCGTTTAATTATAAAACATGTTAACATAAAGTATCGACACTATTAGATTTTGTGTCGATAAATATAATGTAATAGATAAATTTCCAATGTAACCGGTAGAAATATACCGGGTTCATGAGAGAATATGTCAACATAAAGTATCGACACTTTGTTTAATTTGTGTCGATACATTTTTTCAAATGATGGCAAACGAGGTGTACGCATAAAGTGTCGATACATTTTAAAAAGTATCGATCTCTAAACATCGAAATCGATAATTATTATGTAAAAGGTAAATTTACAATGTAACCGGTTAACATATACCGGTTAATTAGCAAATAGGTCTACATTATGTATCGACACTCTTTAAATATGTGTCGATACTTTTTTCCAAAATAAAGCATAAACGAGTTGCACGCATAAAGTGTCGATACATTTAAAATTGTATTGATCCTGAAAACATCGAAACCGATATTTATAATGTAATAGTTCAATTTATAATGTAACCGGTTTAAATTTACCGTTTTTATGAGAAAATAGGTCAATATAAGCGCTACCTATTACATTATATAAGCGCTACCTAATTTATTATTGTACTTTATAATATTTCCGGTTAAATGTCTATTTTATTATATAAGCGCTACCTATTACATTATCTAAGCGCTACCTAATATGTTATTGTGCTTGATAATATTTCCGGTTAAATAATATAATATAACCGATCTAAATTTTAATCGATCACTTGTTTAACCGGTCACACCGACTTTTAGCCGTTTTTAGGCGTCACACAGCGGAAGTTCCGTTTGAAAGGCATGCTCACCAACTCAAGTATGCGCATGCTGCACGCAGTTACTACCAACCTCGTTTTGCACAAAGCCTAATGGAAATGCAACAGATATGTGATGTGCATGTACCTTTTAAAGTCCAAGATGACAGGCTCAGGGTTGGGGGAGCTGCACCCTCCGTACAAGATTATATAGTCATATATAATATATCAGTGTAAAATTAATTTAATTTTTATTATAAATTTTCTTTTTGTAAATTGTTAAATGTTTTATAATTAAATGATTCTGCTGTTGCATTTTATGTTATATTTACGTATATTCTATATATTAAGAATTTTTATTTTTTTATTGATTTCTTTCATCTTACATGAATCCAAAATCAGTTATTCATTTCCAAATTTATCACATTTAAAATTGACAGAAACAACCACCATCATAAAGCAGCCCGATCCATGCTAATGTGTTTGGTGGACATGTAATTAGGTTGTTTTTCTTAATTATTTACTAATAAAATGTTTATTAACTCTCAAATGAAACGATGTCGGTTCTGTAAAATTTGGACCATACTCGGGAAAAATACGAAAAGTAAACATTAAGACAGCACGAGAGGAACGACACAATTTAATCATCTTAATAGGCATCATAACTTGGCAACTTAGATGTTTTTGAAAGTATTTCAACTAAAATTAATTAATATTTTTTTGGTAAGCAAAAAAAATAACTACATCAGTCACTAGTTTTGAATGTAAAAACAGCGATGAAACGATTAGATGTTAGAGGATAATTATACTTTCTAAAAATTTTAAATTCTCATATAATTAAGTATTTTATTTATTTTTTATTGATGATTTAATTTTATATTCTTTAAATTTTATAATTTTATATCTTTAAAACTTTTTTAAATAAATATTTTATATCTTTAAATTTCTAATATAAAATCTTTAAAATTCGTATATCTAATATAAAATCTTGTACCTATTTAAGCATCATGTACCACACTAAGAATCTTATTAAGGGGTGTCAAAACACATGTAATCCCAGTGGTTTGCTTAAGGCTTAGCATTATATAAAAATAACAATTTTCAAACCCTTAGCATTGAAAATTACAAAACAGAAGAAAAATAAGAAAAACTTAAAACTGAAAATGTGATCGAATCAAAAATAAATAAAAGATATCAATTTGATTTTACATAAGATACATGTTTATGTAGATAATAGCTTTGGATACATATCATTTATCTTAGCCATTTTTTGTATTACAAACAACAAATTTATTAAATAAATAAAGAAAAAACATTACATTTATAATTCAACAAATCCGATTGTTTTCTTACCATCATGTGCTTTACGAAAGAAATGCTTGACGTAATCTGAATAAAGAACTTGTTTGTAAATTGGTTTCTCACCACTTGATATCAATTCAAGTAACGGTCCTATCATATCTGCAGGTCTTGGATTCACAAAAATAGGGACCGAAATCCTATTATTATTTCCATTAGCGACCACACGATGTTCAACACTCTTGTACCTTCCATTGCTTATTATCTGTAGGGCATCTCCAACATTGATTACAAGAGAACCTTTAATTGGAGGAACATGAATCCAATTATCTCCCTCGTTTTCCCTTACGAAAAGTCCTCCGATCTCATCTTGAAGGAGAATTGTGAGAGTCGATACATCAGAGTGACGACCTACTCCAACAGTAAATTCAGGATTTGGACATTTGGGATAGTAGTTAAGATTAGTCCTCATTGAACCCATCAACAATGATTCTTTTGTCTTGTCAATCTCATTAACATTTAAACCCTTCATTAGTACTTGTAATAGATGTTTGATGACAACTTCTGACTTCTTCATGTAATCTAACACTTGCTCCCTGCAATTTTATCCAAGAACGTCGATAAATATATATTTTTTGACAAATAGAATGCATGCTATAAAGTTTGATGATTCAAAGAAAATCTAACAAGTAATTGTTTTTACCTGCAAACCGAAGGCCATAATGCAGAAGCCTCTTTTTCAGACACGTAAAACAAGCTGAGATAATCTTTCCATTCAAGAGCCTTTTCTGCTTGAGGGGTAAAACTTGTACCAAACCTCACGTTGTTTGAAGATGAATGGTCCTTGGAATACTTATTTTTTACCTCAGCTGGCAGCCTAAAGAACCTGTAAGTAGCATCCTTAACATTGTCCAGCACATGAATGGGGACATCATGGTTAACAATTTGGAAGAAACCCCATTTGGAAGCAGCATCGCAGATGGATTTGGCCAACTTGGGGTCTTCCCAATTGGACATATCAATGATGGGAATGGAGTCTTGTGGTACGATATTGGTCATGCAAGTCCTCTCTTCCAAAGGTTGGATATATTGCTTAGGGAGGGAAGTGAGACCAAGTTCAGACAAACCCTTCACACCATTCCCTTGGTTAATAACAAACTCACGGAGAGCTGAAGAGTCATTGAAAGGATCAGCAAGTGCTGGAGCCATTGGAATTATGAGTTGAAGGAGCGAGGTGGTGTTTGAGGAAGAAGATAAGAGTGTTAGAAGAGAAGGCAGTGGTGCTTGTTGGTTTCAATGGAGTGGCTATTTATATACAAAATTTGTTGAGGGACGCTCACCAACCCAAGTAAGTCGCACGCTGCTACCACCAACCTGCATGTTTAGAACAAAGCCTCATGGAAATGCAAAATATTTGCATTCACATTTTTAAAGTCCAAACTGGCTGTCTAGGGGCCCCATCGAAAAGTCATACATGTATTAGTGTAACATTAATTTGTTTTTAATTTTTTTGAAAAAAAATCAATATAATTTTATGTTTATATATTCAACTATAATATTTTATGTTATAATACTGTAAATGATGTAATTAATTTAAAATTCTGTAACTATTTGTATTATATAAAAAAGATTTTAAATACCAAATACATTAAAAGAAAGGTTAAAAAGTTAATAAATAAATCATACACTAAAAGAGAAAGTGAGATTATTAAGACCTAAAGGTTGAGAAATCACATTGAATTTTACTTTGTAATTGTAAATAATACATATGTTTCTTTACAAGTTGAATTTGGCCTTATTTTAAATTTCTTTCTTTAGTTGTTTAACGGTTCTTTTCAAGATTATAAGGTGGTCTCGAGATAATATTTAGTTTGTCTTTACTTCAGTAAATTCTTTGAAAAGAAAAACGTGTGTATATTTATGGGTAGAATCTAGTTATTTTCTTTTAAAAAATAATTTTATATTTATTTAAGATTATTTAATGAAATGCGTTGATGCAATTATTCATTTAAAATAAAAAGGTGTTTACAAGTAAAAAAGATTATTGTATAGGGCAATTGAATCTTAAATTGGTTAAAACTAAATAGTTTTATTTAGTGTGTGTGTATATATATATATATGGACGAGACGAAAGAAGAGGTGGGGCGGGGATTGTAAATTTTAAAATTCTTATTAATTTTTTTATATCTTTAAGTATTTTTGGTTAAGTCTCCTTTTAACTTTTTTAAAGTTCTCATTAAATCTTAAATTTATACACAATTTAAAATTTATTAACTAATGATGTAATTTATCCTAAATAAAATTATTTGACCAAAAACACGAACCTTTTATCACGCCCGTATAAATAAATAAAATGAAAAAAAATCATTGAAAATTATATTTGGGATTGGTTTTCGTCGAACTTGCCTGCTTATTCGATGTAATAAAAGACAACCCTTTTTGACCGGAGGGATACAACAGGGAGCTGCCACCAAATGTCACAAAAAATTAAAAAATGGACTTTTATCAGCAATGCTTATTCATTAGTATTATATTACATTTTAGCAGAGAATAATGTCTCTTCACCGTAAACGACTCTTTTTTTTTTTATAGATAAAACGTTTCGGTAGTGCTCTCACATCAGACACGAGGTTTCCACATCTGACTGTCATCCAAGGCAGAAACGTGTTTAATATGGAACGTACTATACACGTTTATGCTCAAATGGTGCATGAACGTAGTTGAAATATATATATATATATATATATATTTTAAAATTTTAAGATAAAAAATAATTGCTTAATGCAAAAATAAGTCTTCAAATTATATCTTAAGTTAATATTAGGTGTCTAATGAATTTTTCGTTAATAATAAGTGACTAATGTTTTCTCTGTTATGTTTTTTAGGTGATTACGCAGTAACGACAGTTAAAAAAATCGTTAAGTGACGAGTGTCATGTTTTTATTTTAGTTTGATGCAAAAATAAGCGTTCAAATTATATCTTAAGTTAACATTAGGTGCTTAAATAAATTTCCGTTAATATTAGGTGCCTAATGTTTCCGGCGTTTATATTTTTTCTAAAATTTTAATTTTAAATAAAAAAGTTAAACTATTATTTAAAAAATATTTTTTAAAAAAATTTCCCCTCATGCATGCGCAAAAATTTCTCCCTCTCTCGTTGTGTTAAAAATCCTCCTCTACCGTCCCCACAAATTTATAACGTTAACTTAATGTAAGAATGATAAATTTGAGATTAAAGTTAGCTAGGGGATGTTTGTTTACTTCAGAATGATTAAATTCTGAATGATTCAAATGCTGAATGATTCAGAGGCTCTGGATGAATTACCTCTGAATGTGATATGTTGTTTGTTTATTGACTCTGAATCATTCAGAATGTACTTCTGTGCTGAATCATTCAGAATGTATATCTGTGCTGAATCATTCAACATTGTTTTGCTGAATCAGTCACTGAATCATTCAAAGGCGCGAAACAAACGCGCTGAATGTTAAACCGTTCAACATTCAGCGCTGAATGTTAAACCGTTCAACATTCAGCGCTGAATGGTTCCATTAAGAGGTAAACAAGCAGCCCCTTAGTCATTTAAGTTTGTATTTATAGATTTAAAGGAATTGAGCTCCAAACATTAGGGATTTAAGGAAATTTAGGAATATATAGTTGGTGATATCTAGTTCTAGCTATAGCAAAATATCAATAATTCTCACCAATCCCTGTGAAGACGATATGCAACTCACTACTATATTACTTGCATCGATTGTATACACTTATATTGATTTGCTTGCCTTAGCATATACATTTACAAACGATCACTTATCAATCTCATTAACATTTAAACCCTTCAATAAAACTTGTAATAATTGTTTGATGACAACTTCATACTTCTTCGTGTAATCTAATACATTCTTCCTGCAAATTTAAAGTTTATCAAAGAAGGTCGATTAAAATATTTTTTCTGACAAATAGATTAGATGTTATAAAGTTTAATGATTCAATAAAATTATTTAAATATAACCTTTACTTTTTTATTTTATTAAGTAATCATCAGCGTTACATGCATGGCTTAATTGCATGACCACCAAACATATTAGCATGGATCGGACTGCGGTTGATGATGATTGTTTTTTTTTTCATTTTTGAAACTATTCAGTTATATTTTTATTTGGTAAGCAAAGGAATGAACATAATTGGCTACTACAAAGTCACCAGTATTAACTGTAGAAACTACAAAGCCTGTTTGATCTAGCACATTAATTTTTTTTTATTAATATGGAGTAAGTATATGATAGTATGTGTTCAAAGACAACTCTCAACTAATTGATATTGAACATTCACATTCACATTCCTTACATTCATGGTGCTCATACCCGAGACTTCAAATAATGACAACAATTCTTTTACCACCGAGATCGCTTGATTTAATCTAACACGTCACTTTATTAAATAATTAATTTGAAGTAATTATAAGTAATATACGTTCATAATTTTTTTAGTTAATTGACAAGATATACACATCTTGCATATATAACTCTATTCTCTAAAGAGAACACCACACTTTTTTTTCTCAGTGAAAAATATAATTAATAATTGAAGAAAAATAAAACAGAAAAATATGTGTTTGCAGAAAAGATACAGAAATCACTCAATCCGCTCAAAGAACACAAAACACCTAGAAAGCAAAACACAATGATGTCCGGACCATCATGAATCAAAATAACATTTTTTTATCTCTAAATTTACTCATTAGATTCTCATATAGCACACCAAGAGTCTCTTTAAGGGATCTCAAAACACAGATAATCTCAATAATTTTTTAAGGCTAAGCATTATATAAAAATAATAATTTTCAAACCTTTAGCATTGAAAATTACAAAAGAAGATAAAATAATGTTTAAGACTAAAAATGTAATTATATGAAAATAAATGAAAGATATCATTTTGATCAAATACGAGATACATGTTTTTGTAAACAATGATTTCGAATACATATAATTTAATTTAGAATTTTATTCTTTACGAGATCAATAACTTTATTACATTAGACAAAGAAAGAAAAAAACATCGTGATTATAATTCTGCAAATCCAATTGTTTTCTTACCGTCGTGTGCTTTACGAAAAAAATGCTTGACGTAGTCTGAATAAAGAACTTGTTTGTAAACTGGTTTCTCACCACTTACGATCAATTCAGGTAATGGTCCTATCATATCAGCAGGTCTAGGATTCAAAAAGATGGGAACCGAAATTCTGTTATTACTTCCGTTAGCAACCACACGATGTTCAACACTCCTATATCTTCCGTTGCTCATTATCTGCAAAGCATCTCCAACATTGATCACAAGAGAACCTTTAATTGGAGGAATATGAATCCAATTATCTCCCTAGTTTTCCCTTACAAAAAGTCCCCCGATCTCATCTTGGAGGAGAATTGTGAGAGTCGAGACATCAGAGTGACGACCTACCCCGAAAGTAAGTTCAGGATTTGGACATTTGGGATAGTAATTAAGATTAGTCCTTATTGAACCCATCAATAATGATTCTCTTGTCTCATCAATCTCATTAATATTTAAACCCCTCATTAGAACTTGTAACAATTGTTTGATGACAACTTTTGACTTCTTCATGTAATCTAACACTTGCTCCCTACAAATTTATCAAAGAAGGTGTATTAATATATTTGTTAATAAATAAGATGCATGTTAAAAAGTTTAATGATTCAATACAATCTAACAAGTAACTTTTTTTTTACCTGCAGACCGAAGGCCATATTGCAGAAGCCTCTTCTTCAGAGACGTAAAACAAGCTGAGATAATCTTTCCATTCAAGAGCCTTTTCTGCTTGAGGAGTAAAACTTGTTCCAAACCTCACATTGTTTGAAGAAGAATGGTCCTTGGAATACTTATTTTTGACGTCAGCTGGCAGCCTAAAGAACCTGTAAGTAGCATCCTTAACATTGTCCAACACATGAATGGGGACATCATGGTTAACAATTTGGAAGAAACCCCATTTGGAAGCAGCATCGCAGATGGATTTGGCCACCTTGGGGTCTTCCCAATTGGACATGTCAATGATGGGAATGGATTCTTTTGGTACGATATTGGTCATGCACGCTCTCTCTTCCAAGGGTTGGATATATGGCTTAGGGAGGGAAGTGAGACCAAGTTCAGACAAACCCTTCACACCATTCCCTTGGTTAATAATAAACTCACGGAGAGCCGAAGAGTCATTGAAAGGATCAGCAAGTGCTGGAGCCATTGGTTTGAGTAAATTATGAGTTGAAAGAGCGA